CTCAGTAAACATAACACAGGTGTTGTGGTCATCAGTAAACATAACACAGGTGTTGTGGTCCTCGGTAAACATAACACAGGTGTTGTGGTCCTCAGTAAACATAATACAGGTGTTGTGGTCTCAGTTAACATAACACTGGTGTTGTGGTCTCAGTAAACAACACACAGGTGTTCTGGTCCTCAGTTAACATAACACTGGTGTTGTGGTCCTCAGTAACAACGCAGGTGTTGTGGTCCTCAGTTAACATAACACTGGTGTTGTGGTCCTCAGTTAACATATAACACTGGTGTTGTGGTCTCAGTTAACATAACACTGGTGTTGTGGTCTCTCAGTAAAACAACACATGTTGTGGTCTCAGTTAACATAACACAGGTGTTGTGGTCTTCTGGCAAACATAACACAGGTGTTGTGGTCTCTCAGTAAATATAACAGGTGTTGTGGTCTCAGTTAACATAACACAGGTGTTGTGGTCCCTGGTTAACCTTAACACTGGTGCTGTGGTCTCAGTTAACATGCTAACACTGGTGTTGTGGTCTCAGTAAACAACACAGGTGTTGTGGTCCTCAGTTAACATAACACTGGTGTTGTGGGTCTCAGTAAACAACACAGGTGTTGTGGTCTCTCAGTAAACAACACACAGGTAAGGTGGTCTCAGTAAACAACACACAGCTGTTGTGGTCTCTCAGTAAACAACACAGGTGTTGTGGTCCCCAGTTAACATACAGTGTTGTGGTCTCCTGGCAAACAACACAGGTGTTGTGGTCCTCAGTCCACACAACACAGGTGTTGTGGGTCCTCAGTAAACATAACACAGGTGTTGTGGTCTCAGTAAACATAACACAGGTAAGCTGGACTCCTCAGTAAACATAACACAGGTGTTGTGGGTCTCTCAGTAAACATAACACAGGTGTTGTGGTCTTCTGTGCAAAACATATAACACAGGTAAGTTGTGGTCCCTCAGTCAACATAACACAGGTGTTGTGGGTCTCCCTGTGCAAAACATAACACAGCTGTTGTGGTCTCTAGCAAACATTCATAACACACAGGTGTTGTGGTCTTCAGTGTAAACATAACACAGGTGTTGTGACCTCAGTAAACATAACACAGGGGTGTTGTGGTCCTCAGTAAACATATAACACAGGTAAGTTGTGGTCCTCAGTAAAACATAACACAGGTGTTGTGGTCCCTGTGCAAACATAACACAGCAGTTGTGGTCCCTAGTAAACATTCATAACACAGGTAAGTTGTGGTCTTCAGTAAACATAACACAGGTGTTGTGGGACCTCAGTACACATAACACAGGTGTTGTGACCTCAGCTACTGCAACACAGGTAAGTTGTAATCCTCAGTAAACATAACACAGGTGCTGTGTCCTCAGTAAACATAACACAGGTGTTGTGGACCCCAGTTAACATAACACACAGGTGTTGTGGGACCCTGCCAACATAACACAGGTGTTGTGGTCCTCAGTAAACATAACACAGGTGTTGTGGTCTCTAGCAAACATAACACAGGTGTTGTGTAGGTCCCTGTGCAAACATAACACAGGTGTTGTGGTCCCCAGTAAACATAACACAGGTGTTGTGGTCTCAGTAAACATAACACAGGTGTTGTGGTCCCTAGTTAACATAACACAGGTGTTGTGGTCTTCAGCAAACATAACACAGGTGTTGTGGTCCTCAGCAAACATAACACAGGTGTTGTGGGTCCTCAGTAAACATAACACAGGTGTTGTGGTCTCAGTTAACATAACACAGGTGTTGTGGTCCCCTGTGCAAAACATATAACACAGGTGTTGTGGTCCCTAGTAAACATAACACACAGGTGTGTTGTGGTCTTCAGTAAACATAACACAGGTGTTGTGGTCCTCAGTAAACATAACACAGGTGTTGTGGGTCCTCAGTAAACATAACACAGGTGTTGTGGGTCCCTGTGCAAAACACAACAGGTGTTGTGGTCCTCAGTCAACATAACACAGGTGTTGTTGTGGTCTCAGTCAACATAACACAGGTGTTGTGGTCCTCAGTTAACATAACACAGGTGTTGTGGTCCCTAAATAACATAACACAGGTGTTGTGGGTCTCAGTCAACATAACACAGGTGTTGTGGTCCCCAGTCAACATAACACAGGTGTTGTGGTCCTCAGTCAACATAACACAGGTGTTGTGGTCCTCAGTCAACATAACACAGGGTGTTGTGGTCCCTGTGCAACATAACACAGGTGTTGTGGTCCTCAGTCAACATAACACAGCCAGGGTCCTCAGTAAACATAACACAGGTGTTGTGGTCCTCAGTAAACATAACACAGGTGCTGTGTCCTCAGTAAACATGCAACACAGGTGTTGTGGTCCTCAAACATAACACAGGTGTTGTGGCCCCTAGTAAAACACATAACACAGGTGTTATGGGTCTCCCCAGTAAACATAACACAGGTGTTGTGGTCCTCAGTAAAAACATAAGACAGGTGTTGTGGTCTCAGTAAAACATAAGACAGGTGTTGTGGTCTCAGTAAACATAACACAGGTGTTGTGGTCCTCAGTAAACATAAAGACAGGTGTTGTGGTCCCTGCAAACATAAGACAGGTGTTGTGGTCCTCAGTAAACATAAGACAGGTGTTGTGGTCCTCAGCAAACATAACACAGGTGTTGTGGTCCCTCAGTAAAACATAAGACAGGTGTTGTGGTCCTCAGTAAACATAAGACAGGTGTTGTGGTCCTCAGTAAACATAAGACAGGTGTTGTGGTCCTCAGTAAACATAAGACAGGTGTTGTGGTCCTCAGTAAACATAAGACAGGTGTTGTGGTCCTCAGTAAACATAAGACAGGTGTTGTGGTCCTCAGTAAACATAAGACAGGTGTTGTGGTCCTCAGTAAACATAACACAGGTGTTGTGGTCCTCAGTAAACATAACACAGGTGTTGTGGTCCTCAGTAAACATAACACAGGTGTTGTGGTCCTCAGTAAACATAACACAGGTGTTGTGGTCCTCAGTCAACATAACACAGGTGTTGTGGTCCTCAGTAAACATAACACAGGTGTTGTGGTCCTCAGTAAACATAACACAGGTGTTGTGGTCCTCAGTAAACATAACACAGGTGTTGTGGTCCTCAGTAAACATAACACTGGTTGACTTGTGGTCGTAACAGCTCACGTACCGGTATACTAAACCTTATATATGTACACCTAACAACACTCGCCAGCTGCCTGTGTTAACTGGCGGCGCCCATCAGAGGCGTCACTATGGCTGCCAGCTGAGCCACCAGGCGGCACCACGTAATGGGTAACTCTTTAATTTCATTTGAGATCCTTTAATTGACACAGTTATAGATGTATAACACTTTCGTATTTTTCTTTGTTATCACTGAAATATATAACGAATTTATTCCTTTATGTCATCAAGACCGAGAAATGACTTTCACCTCAAAAATTTGAACTAACAGCCGCCACCAGCCGACGTAACGCTCTCGACCGGAGCTCAACACAAACTGTCGCAACTCATTCCAGGAACGTCCCTTTCTTGTTGTCTGTGAGTGATGCTATCTTGTTTTAAAATACATATAACAATCCTTATTCACTAATATACCTCAATATATTGTATTGTAAAGATATCAGTCAAATATAAATTGTATAAATGAATGATAATTAACGACTAACATTGTTGAAAGTTCATAATATCTTCTTTCTTATAGTAAATTATGGGAAGAGCTTATAGTAACTCTGTACAGATATGCGCTTTTAAAAGATAAGTTGTTTGACAATACAACTACCAGTTAACTCAGATTCTTTTATTACACTGTCCACTTTTCATTTCAAAATATACTTATATAATATAGTGTATAATATATACCAAATTTACTAATAATATGTATTGTGTTATAATTTTGCAAGAAAATATTTGGAACGACGGGGGTTTCCGGCGTGACGTCACAGTCCGGTGTTGTGCTCATGGCGGCGGAGGAAAGATGGTATTTTACGAAGGAAGAATTAAACAATTCACCCAGCAGGAGATGTGGAATCGACGCAGAAAAAGAATTATCGTATCGACAGCAAGGTGCAAATCTGATCCAGGATATGGGCCAGCGGTTACAAGTGTATCCTTTTGTGATAATGTGTTTGATTGGTGGTTCTCGGCCTTGGGTAACACACGCTGTCATGTTAAGTACAATATTGTTGTAATCCACGCTTTATCTTGGGTTAATGAGTTACGGTGATTAGTATTAGGGTCCATGGATAAGGCTGCGTCATATGAAACTAGTCGGTGAAGTGTGTGGCCAGGTTAAATGTGAGTGTTGTTGTAGTGCACCTCACCGTTGTCATGGCCGTGGCAGCCATGTTTGCTCACATGACCCGTTAAACGTGAACTATTTGTCGCACATTACTACTACAAGCTTTATTGGAGTGCGTATAACTATTGGTCTTACACAGTATTTGGCTTGGGTCGCTACGTCGTGTTTGTTGCGTGGGAGGTGGCCGGGTTCTTTTGCAATTTGATGGAACATGCATGGGTCTAGGCCTGACAACATGGTGCAATATGCAGGCTGGCTGTGATAACTTATTGTTTACACCAGCAATATCTCATCACATTGCATTTGATTCGTTTAGTATTAACTTATGCATCTTAAAGTAACCATTGTTTTGTATCTTTAATGTAGTTTTTACTTAATGTTTATGAATATATCTTTACTTGGGAGAGCATTGCATCCTACCACATGGCAATGGGTCATTTTTATTTTACAGAGGAATTTGTTATGTTATAGCTGTCTTGTCGGTGATGATGTGTGCATCATCCCGTGTTGTATTATTTGTTTTAAAAAAATTGGGTCAGTCTGTCATCAGATGTTCTCAGAAACTGTTAATGAAGACCTGAAGCAGTGGGGTGTGGTGGCTGAGTGGATACACCATTCATCTTCACTACTCAGGGTTGCTGGTTTAGTAATGGGTTACCTCAGTCCACCTTATTGTAAAGGAGTGTCAACTTGACACTTATGGAAGTGAATGGTTGAGTTCTTTGCAGGACTCGGTGCATACATGTGTACTATATTAATGCTGTCTGGCTCTGGCATAGATGACACACTTTTACTATCAGGTAATGGAGTTGTTGTCTAACACTAACTCAAGGTAATATTATTCTGGATTGTACCCAGAGCACACTTATGAGAGGTAGTTGTGAGCTCTACTGCTGTGCTACATTATTTTGATCAGTTGTGATAAACACCAGACTTAGGAATTTGGTGATCTGCCATATAGGTTAACTGTAATACTGCCTCAACAAATTATATTTTCTTAAAAAAAGTTATTAAAATTATTTTTGGAAATTACAGTATCTTCTGGTCAGCAGGTAATTGGTGTCAGAGGAATAACTAGAAGTCCTGATGCTACTTGGAGATGAGGTTTTTAATATTTTTTTCAGAAATTGTTTAGTATTTGGCTTAGCACATGACCTAGGCTTCCAGATGAAAATAGGCTCTTCTTATAGAATTTAATTCTAAACTAACCTAACCACACACCTCTAATTAGTAGAATACAGATATTATATTGTTGAGCATGAAGCAAGAATGTTGATGTTCAATGTAATATATGGAGAAGCAGGATTATACAGTATGTACAGTGCACTGTATATCCCTGCTAGCTGTAATGACACGACTTTGTTATCCCAGAAAAAGTCTCACATCCCCGGAAAGTTTTCAGATACTGTAGTTTAAACTATACATCTCGCATTACATTTAGGTGGCGGGCATAAGCGAAAATATATACGGCTAGCAAAAAAAATTTATAAACCTTTATTCACAGAATCTGTTGTACAGTAATTGTGTTAAGAGAGATTAATTTGGTACCATAATGATTCTAAATAAATTCTCTACAAGACTTCCAGTAAAAGATCCTTAAACTAAATATTTCAACATGATATAGTGATGGGGACTCAATCTTTATGAAAAAATATAACAAATGTTGATACTGGAGTCTATAAAATCACTTCTGATTAAGTTAGAAACACCATTTATGTTGAAATAATCCTGAATAGTGTATCTAAAATTTGTTCAAATAAATGTACAGGTACTCCCCGACTTACGATGGGGTTAGGGACCGACATCCAGGTCGTAAGTCGGGAATGCTTAAATATCACAGAAAATCGAAAATTTGGGTCTCTTTTTCTTCTCAGCATCACAAAACACTCACTTTTAAGCTTGCCAGCCATTTTAAAGTGAATTACAGATGAAAATTTTGTCTGTGTACTGACTTTGGGAATCAAAAATACATAATTTGACGACATTCTGGTACGACTGAGGCAGGGCGTAAGTGCGGGTGGACGTAAGTCGGGGAGTACCTGTATATATATAAATCTATATGATTCGGGCATGCAAGGCATGAATGGAAATGTCACAACTTCTCGCACGGACAGTCACTACAGCATCTACTCACTAGCAGATGCTGTCGTCTTGAGCCTACAGTCGGCATACACTGTCCACTGCTGAATGTAATACATAATAGATAACTAATACATTTTTACATCTTAATACTTGTGATGAAGGTGGGGTGAGGGATTAGCAAGTCATATTGACCTGACCTGAAGATGTCTTGCATACAGACAAAAGCTAAGGTGCTCCAGTGTTTCCCTTTTCCTGGATTGTACTGAATGTACTACAGTGGGTTTGACACTAGGCATTGTAAAATACTTAGACATAGTGCATGAGGTAGTGTGAGTAGTGTGTAGCATTTACACTGCTTGTGAAAGGTTTTATTATATAACAGTAAATTGATGTACTTCTATGTACCTATATTCCTTAACATGAGTTTCAGTAACCAACTAGCAATCAACACCGCCATCGTATATATGCATCGTTTCTACATGTTTCATCCCTTCACACGTTTTCATCGTAATTCCATTGCACCTGCTGCCCTTTTTCTGGCTGCCAAGGTGGAAGAACAGCCCAGAAAGTTGGAGCACGTTATCAAAGTGGCATACCACTGCCTCTTTCGTGACCAGCCTGCCTTGGACACTCAGTCGGAGGTAAGTTTTATGTTGTTCCTGACTAAATGTTTTATATTCTTGACCACATGAATGTATTATCCATCTACAAAAAAATGAAAGTGAATATTTTTTGTGATTTTTAATTTGTATGTTATTTAACATTCTTCAGGGCTATTTAGAACGTGCACAGGAATTGGTGGTAAATGAAAATATCCTGCTCCAAACCCTGGGCTTTGATGTTGCCATAGACCACCCTCACACGCACGTGGTCAAGTGTTGCCAGCTCGTCCGCGGTGAGTACACCCAACCAAGCTTCAGGTTATTTACTGAAATGGAAGCATCGGGAACCCATTTTGTCAAGAAAAGAGCCATAAAAGATTTGCAACTGTTGGACATGTCTGGCAGTCATCTACTGTAGCTATTCATTTGTTTACAGTATTAGGTATGGTGTTTATATACAAATTATAAGGCAGCCATTGAATATGCAATGATCAAATTGTATATGTAGATCATTATTGTAATACTGCACAGTAAAATCATTTGTTTGTAATACAAGTGTGTAAAGCGTTAGGCCAGTAGTGTAGGTCTCTGGGCCTTGTTTCGTGTCTCTTGATTTGGGGAGTTTTGCTCTTGGATTTTTGCTCTTGGCCACAACCTTATTGATTGATTTTCAGGTGTTGGGAGGGAGTGGTCAACTGGTTAAGTTTAGATTCAGGTAGTGAGATCCAAGTGACCGAGTCTGGTGAATTTGTAATGCAGTTGTGCTTTATTACGAGGCCATTTTTAACACTTGGGAGCCCTTAGCAAATCTATACTGGTGGGCCCAGGTATCTCACATTGCTACACCCTCCAAGGACTGGTCCTCATGACACATTGTTGTCATGTCACATTTATGTATGGTGCCAGCACCAGGTAGATTCTTAATCATGCTGTCAAGTGAGGTCATCATGCTGTGTTGGTCTCTGATGACCTGACCCATTACACAACACAGCCACAAAAGTGCTGCAGTGAGCTTCTGACAACAGTTGAGCCCTTGGTAAATGTCCTCTTTGATATTACTGTACAATGATTATTACAATACAATATTGTGCTTCTGTGTGTATTACCACTGTGCAATGTTTATAGGATTTTGTGCTGTGGGGCAAAGTTTCTGTGGTACCTGGAAACAATCAGTCACTCCAATTCAGTTCTGGCAGCAGAACAAAGCCAAAGCCAAGTTAAATCACTGGTCATTCTGTTATTGGCCATTTTAACTTGGCCTGCCTCTGGTGCTCCTGTTGAATGTTTATTTTAGCCGTGGGGATGATAATGAGGCCCCATAGATACTGAACATCAAATGTACTCGTGTTTATGTTTATATGCGTACATTAAAAAAAAGAAGCAAGTACCGGATTAATCAAGCCAAAGCGATGTTAATCAAACGGATTTTGTTATTCAGACATCCATATCACCAGGGAGGCACAACTGTTCAAAACAACAGCCAGCATATTACACTAACACAGATTAACTTATTTCTGCTCATAATAAATTAGTTTAAGTAAAATTATCATATTTATGATATACTGTATATACAGTAAAGTCTTGTTTTTAAGTGTTAATAGATGTTGGTAAGGCTCTAGAAGTTTTCAGAACTGCAGAGATGGTTTTAAAAGGTTCTTGAGTTTCATTGCATGTATGTGGCATGGATGACCTTGTACAGAAAGAGATGAAGTGGATGTACAGGTATATAGTATACTCCTGGCAATGAAGTGGATATGTTCACAAAATCCTCTTTGTTCTCAGGAACTTCGTCGTCGGTAGATTTAACAAGGAGTAAACGGGAATAGCTTGCAGTCCTTTGTTTTTGTGTATTTTACATACAGTGAATAAAAATTAGCAAAAATTGCTTTAATAAACAATGAAAACAATACATACCCCATCATAAAATACAATAGCACATACAGTATTTTATAAAAAGAAATAGCTCCTTCAGCCTTGAAGGGGAGTTCAGCCAGCCGACTGACCTGAGAGATGCTTGGCGGCTCCACCATGTATGGCATGACATCACATTAGGGAGTGTGTGACACACACAGTCAGTATGAAGTACCTTGTATGAACTGAGACCCAATTTTTTTCCCCCAAAATATATATACAGTGAATATAAAAAAAATTTAACTGAGCTTATGTTAAATGGTTGGAAAAGAAACTGAATTACAATACAGTATACATTATTGTATTGTCAATACAGTCCAGAGAACTGGACCATTAGGAATGACCCCATCGGAGAAACAGATGATGATCTGGATATGTTGTAGTGGCATAGAAGCTTATTCCAGACAGTACTGTACTATTGTGTCATGTTTATCAAATTGAAAAGTGAATACTGTACCCTTAGTTTTTCTTTGTGCCAACAAAGATTTTTTTCTCTCTTTCCTTATTATATTTTGGACTTTATATCATGAGTTAGATAAGTGCCCATCTGGTACTTATGGTGTTTGTAATATAATTGGTCTTTAGTTATCAAGCTCTAGTCATATTATAGGGTATGGCAACTTCGTAGTGGTGATATGCCAGTGACTGGCTGCCACCTCTCGTGGACTAACACGAGTCAGTTGTCTCTTGGTGAGTAGACAGAGCAGATGTGGTCCTCATGCTATTGCTCCACATTAACTGCTATTGTTGTTTGATGGATTATTATGTCTCCTTCTTGGAATATGGTTGAGGGTTTAACTGCTTGGTAGAAATGGTCTTTTCTTCATGTCTGCTACTTGAGTGGGGGAGTAAGCACACATTAGGGTAGCATACTGACTTTTTGATAAGTAGTATCTGGATTGTCATATGCCTCTCACTGATGCCTACTGGTGACTCTGGAAGTCTAGTGAGGAGTTTGTTTCTGATGTCAAAGCCAACACCATGTAAAGGCTGACCTCCATAAAGGTGGTCCTTCCAGAAGATGGTGAAGCTACACATCTACCTCTCCTACCCTCTTCCACTTCCAAGCAAAACATTTCTTTGAGGGCAATAATGTCAATATTGTAGGGCTTAAGTTCCACAGATACGAGTGGGGTCTATTAGATACATTGTTCGCGTCCTGCAGGGTCCTTATATTTCAGGTGGCATTAATTGAAGGAACTTTTTTTTTTTTTTTAAATCATCATCACTAAAGTTGAAGTTGCCTTTTCAAGTAGGAGTGATGTTTAGGCCACCCTTTCTTGGCCCTTCTCTCAGAGGGGTGAGTAGCATGATCCCTAAAGTGGGTCTATCAAGAGTAGCTGTCACTCCAGTCCACCCGCTAGTGACCATAAATTGTCCTATGCTGCTGACGTGCAAGGATCGAGCTGGGACATTCACTCCCTGCCCCCATCAGCAGACTCCCCATCATCGCCAGACTTAGCTAAGTTGTGGAGTTTAGGTTAACAGAAGAGAACCTGTGCAGTGAGAAGATTTATATGAGGGAGGAGGTGCACCTTCTTCAACTTTTCCAGTTTGATCTTGAGCAGGAAAGTTCTAATGGCATGGGGTAGACCCATGACAACCAGTAACCTGCCCAACAGTGGAGGAGGTTGTTGGAACTACTTTATGTGGAAGACTGCCATTGTGTGCCCCAACACCTTGGTTCCCTTGGGGTCTGTTCGCTCCCCCCACACACACGCACACATACAGTAATGTATAGTGCATTTTATTGATATCAATTTTTTTTTTAAGTTTTGAGAATCTATATTTAGTATATTACTGTCCAAAATCTAATACATAATTCCAGTGAGACAGCAACTTATAAAAGGTATTTGTTTAGAGCAGACTGATGTTGATACTATTCATCAGATTTGCTGTACATGTTTACCTTCATGAGCAGTCACGGCTCAGACTACATTTATTATGTACAGTAATTTAGATATAACTAGTTGTTAAAGGCCTTGGCCTCAATATTATAATCTGAGAGGGCTACTAGTACACCACCAGTGCAGTGACCTACAGATTATTAGATCCTTTGTTTATACTCTACCGTACAGCCAAACTGGTACAGTACTTGGGTGAAGGGTAGTCAGTACCAAAGATAATAGTTTCACTTTCAAATAAATAATGATTAAACTTCAATAGTTTTAAGTAGAAGTCTACCAAAGGGTTTATTATTGAACAGTCTTGCTAACAAAACTGTCCTGTCTTGGATACAGAGTACTGTATCTTTAGATGCTTGACAATGTTTACCTCATTATTCCCCAATTGTTTGAAATATTAATGTGAAAATAATAAGTGTTAGAGAGACAAGGTACTGTATTTTTATACTTTAGAAAAGATTAATTGGTCATTATTGAATCTGTATGTAAAAATAAAATAAAGGTACAGTATGTAATAGGATTACCATAGCCTTATTGTGCTCACAGTCTACACTGCTGAGCTTCCATCAAGGTTTGTGGGATTATGACCCCAATGTTTTAAAAGTTGAATGTAATTTCACTTCATGGATGAGCTGCATTTTATGATAAATGTTGCTGGTCTTTGTCGTTTTTTATGCTGTACATATACCATACAGTATTGTACAGTTTACTAGATAAAGTAAGTGATTTTACTTAACTATGATCTTGTTAAGTGGTTTATTGATGAACTTGAATTATATGTTTAGTTTCATAACACTTGCACTAATGTGCATATACTATGTCGATTTTGTTTCATTTAATGTTGTCACAAGACTTAGAGTATTTGAGTATTCAAATATCTTTTGGTTACTGCACAGTACAGTATATTGTTACTGTAAATTGTGAGACATGGTTCAGGTTCATCTTTTAATAAATAATGTTTGCTAATGTTGCTGCTCATGTTAGTTGTTGCATTAACTAACTTGAAGTTCTTTAACACTATTGAGAATTGTGATGTTGCATTTACATGTTCATTGTTGCTACATGCCTTAATGTGACCAAGAGCAGGCAGACTTGTAAGTATACATATATTTGGTTATAAGTGGATATATTACTAATATTTAATTGTTGGCAGTGAAGCCCACCTGGTAAGTAAAGAGTGAAGATCCTGGTAAGGTGCTATAAGGCAAATGGGTAATGCAACATTGTTCTAAAACTGTTTGTCTTTTCTTTTCCCGGTGGTTGGCTGCCCTGGTGGGGCGGTCGGCTGCGGGTCACCCACTACCTGTGCTGTGGTGCTACTGTCCTGGCGTGCGCCCCAACAACAGCCACCAAAGATTTGGCCCAAACCTCGTATTTCATGGCTACCAGCAGGTTATTATCACTGGCTGACTGTTTGTCACTACTGCCAGTAACAAGTTTCAGTGGGCCCCTCCTGTATTTTATAACTGTCTCTTAACAAGATGGCAAATCGCAAGCTGTACTACTTTCCTATTAACTTTTCTCATTATGCCATGATACCTTCAGTACACTATAGCAACAATACACTTCATTAATTTATCAGGTTGGTTTCTTTCACACCCAGTTTTCTCTTGCTGTCGCCTCATTTATTTACAGCCATACATATGGTATCACTTTTACTTCAACCTTGGCAAAAGAGGTTACTCTAGCCTTATTTTCATAAACCTCATTTAATTGCTTCTGCAGCACCATGTAATTCTTGACTTCATTTGGGGGTCAGTAACTTTATTAAAAAAGGTGCCTCTATAGCACTTGACTTGGGTAAAGGACCAAAAATTATCTGGATTATACCATGGGTAGCTGGGCATACTGGTAAAATCATACCATTTTTATTTCTAAAAGTATTTTTGTAGTACTGCTTCTACATTCATTGACCATGAATGACCTCCTCCTGCATACATATGTCTTTCACAAGTTAGATGTACATCTTGACCATGATGTTCACAGAATCCAAATGTGTACAAAGTCTTGTACAGTACATACAGTATATGATTATCTACATGGTTGACTTGGGATTGTGTCCCTTCATACCCAGACTACTATCTGGTATTGTACTTATGCATCTTTGCCTTAACTTATTGGTTTTTCATCTCTATAAACTAAACTTAAAAAAAATCTGTAATGGATGGGATATCAAAATATTTATCATACAGTTACAGTATGTGGTTTAGTACAGTACTGTATTACACTTTTGCCTCTGTCTGCCGGGATAATGACTGTATCCATTCAGTTTTCCCTCATTTGTACCAAGGGTTGGGTTACTAAGAAAAGGCTGGTATAAACAAATTTATGCTTCCTTAGTATAAAAGGGTTATATTGCCAACCAAAGACACTAATAGCAATTCAAAATATAAAATACAGTACTGTAAATTTAAACTGAATGAACATTATGAAGGAGGTTACTACATGGTTCAACTCATAGCTTTAAGCAACTGAGTGAATGTCCATTAGTTGAAATGAGGAAGTGGTGTTGGGGGCATAAAAGTGACTCGAATATTTGGGTGCAGGTCATTTAGGTCCGCCTGATGGCACGGATCATTAATAAGGAGTAAGGCCCTAAAACGGAGATGTTTTTAGTCATGGCAGTAGCACTCTTCCACACAGAAACAGTTCACAAATAAGTCTTCAAGAAGTTTTGCAGGTATCTAGTCTCTTTTGATTGACTTACCAGTGAACAGGTAGAGTTTGGTGGCCAAGACCCTTTAAACTGCAGGGTTTCTGAGTAATGGGTTGTGTTCTGGTGGTGGTCTTCTTGTAAACGATGCACTCTTGTTTTTTCCCACAATGCATAAGGGAAACATCAGGAATAAAATTGTCTCTCCGTCCCTGTGTTTCCCTTGCTACCATCTAACCTCAGATTTCTTGCTCGAAAAGTACCTGAGATATTGCCCAGACAGACAGACAAATGAAGGACACCTGTAGAAATGATATTGACCTTTCATCTCAGGTTCATCATGCTTGAGACTGGACAGATGTAGCACCCAGAGTAACATATGCATCTAGTTACAATTAACATCATTCACTATATCTTATACATTTAATTTACCATCCTTCATGTTTTTAGTAAATGTAATATTCCTTTACAACCTTTATCTGTTATAGTCTTGTCTTTTTTATTCTTTTCTTACTTTTTTCTCTTTCAACAATGTGGTAGATTCTTATTACAATATACAACTTATAGTTTCTAAGGAACCTGTTCTTGCATTGTATCCATGGATTACCGGTAGTTTTCAACCCAACCTCTCTTCTCACACACACACACACAGCTTCTCTTATTTCATAAATTTTCTCACACTTCTTTGTGAACTTAAAAAATGTGGCACTTAGAAATTTAGTTAATTTTTACCATCACTATTTCTTGATTCATTTTACAGTTGTTCTCCCCCCCCCCACCCCCCTCATTCTTTATTATTGTTTATATTATTTATTTATTTATTTTTATTTGGCCACAATTCATACACTGAACAACACATGCTGTCTCACTCATGTGTTATTGACCGTTATATTCTGGAGTCTCTTGCCATGTAATCCATCCGGAAGTGTTTATTGTCTTCACCCCCTTCCTTTCATGTCCTTCATGCCCCTCCTTTACAGTAATATTTTACTCCAAATCATCCTTAAGACCTACTTCACAGTGTTTGTTGGTGTACATCCCATCATTAATTAAGAGTGAGCTGTTTCCAACTCCTTTAGTCTTGATCCATCCTATATCTGAACTGATTACACTCTGCAATATATCTTATACGTACTGTACTATGTACTTTTCTTATAGTACAGTACTGTACAGTGACTCTCCCTCACCCTCCACCCCATCAGCATCTTTCCATGCCATCCATTTATCATCTGACTTCTTCAGGTAGATATCTCAACATACCAAAGCAGGACTCTCAAAGAAATTAATTACTTAAATTGTTGCAGTCCCACTACAGTAAGGTTAGATAAGCTCTTTCAAGTGTTTCCAGCTAATACTGTGCTATAGATGCAGACAGAACCTGACAAGAATGGTCTAACCAGATGCTTTAAATTTGTAATTGTTGGTTTGGAGCTTCCACTTAATAATTTTCTGCACAACAAATTCTACATTTCCTAAAGAAGACCCACATGATATGACCAGTGAAAATTCAGAGTCAATGGGAGTAAAGTCGTCGTTCCTTGTACAGTATTGTTATTACTGGTACCATATCATGATTTCAAGTTTTTAATTCTCCTAAGAAGTAATATTACTTTCTTCAGACACATTAACTAATTTTCTGTGGATTTTACATTCTATAATGACATGAGTTGTCACTTCAGTTATGGTCTTGTATACACACCAACACTACTTATTAATTTGAGTTCTTTCATCATCATCATCACCCTACTCCAACTTGTCATTCTTAGACCTTTCCTGTATAACAGCTGGCCTGCTAGTAAGATTGTTTTACCAGTAGGCCTGCACAGCCATTCTTGTTGAGCTGGACAGATGTGTTTGAGGGAGGGAAGGGCTTAGAAGGCTCACTCTAGCTTGTTCCTGGTGGCACTGGGCTAGCTAGTGCTCCGCTCCTCTCTCTCTTTTGCTATTGTTTTATTATTTTTTAAGACATAAGAGGGCGTTTCCCTCATTTCCAAGTCCAGTGGCTCAACTGATTCGGGTACCTGTTACTTTTAAGTTCATTCAGAGGGAGTGGATGTGCAGCTGCCCTTTGGCTGATGAGTATTCAACAGTGCAACGGCCTGCTCACTACCCGCTCATATAGTGCAAGCTACCAAGCCTTATGGGAATCATCATAGCTGAAGTTTTTAAAGGCACATCACCAGTGGTTTGCAACCCCTAGTAACAGTGCTGGGTGTTGTCAATCATATATTACTCTTAAAATGTGTATTATGTAAGAAATAGATCTTTTTTAAATCAATTTAAATTAAAGGATCTTTTCCTGTTTGCTTTAGATGCATGAGTTGTCTTTACTGTTGATGATACAGTATAAGTAAAATTGTCAAGGTTGTGGCTTCTTTCAAAATGTATATTAAGAATAGGACTTTAGCTGATTAGTTAATCTCTATTAGTTTAATTATAGTACTGTATACGGTATTGCCATTCTTAACCATTTACCGGACAAATCTACACGGGTTAAGTTACTGCTCGTAGTTTCACTTTTCAAAATTGCTTCAGTATGGTTGGTATCTCATAATTGTTGTACCCATTACAACAGAGATCGAATAATACAAATAATCCTGCCAGTTGAACCATCTACAGGTATATGAAAAACAACAATCATTCATTTTTAGGGCAAATTAAACTTGATTGGCAGTTGCCTTGTTTTGTGGTTAATAATGAACTATTAAGTCATATATTATGCTTATGATAGTTTACTATCTTGATGAACACAGCAACAGCAGTTTTAATTGTATCAAAACTTTGTTGAACGAGGAAGCTTTTGTGTGTAGAGGGGAAGGCAAATGGCTGGTAATGTGCTCATAATCTAATCAGCTGATGACTCCTTGGATAACTAATGCTTGCCCCAAGGTGTGAGGGCAAACATTACATGGGGCTCCCACTGTCTTTGGGGGTCACATCATATATACAGTACATGTAATTTTTTCACCAGTTTGTGATCTCTCTTCTAGGTTATCACTCATTTCGAGGCTGGAGGGTGTTCCATTCTTTTTCATACCTTATTGCAGGACTTCTTCTCTCAGATCCTGGCCAATGGTCCCGGGACATTCATAAATTTTTTCACACATGATCGAGGCAGCTTCCTGGGTCAATCACTCAAGACCATAAACTGAACAGCTCAGATAATTTGCTGATTACTCATTTTCTTTTTCCACAGTCTTCATATGACGACGATGTGTCTGCAGTACAAGCCCACCGTGGTGGCTTGTGTGTGCATCTACATCGTCTGCACATGGAGCCATTATGAGGTAAGTTATGTTCACATGTTTTATTGGAAAGTTTGGTTAAAAGCAGGGTTATGGGATGTGCTTTGTCTGCAATCCAACAAGTCCAACTTCATTTGGGTGTTACGTGAATTAATAATTGATACAGTACTGTACTATACTATCAGACTTGCTTACTGTATATAAATCTGACAACTAACAGCTCACAGAATGTTAACTCATATTGTTTAATTTTATGACTTGATATGTGTATTTTTCCCCCTCATGTTTACAGTATTCCGATGTCATTGACACCCCAGGGAACACCTAAACAATGGTGACTTGGACTAACCCTTTGATTAATTACATTCCTGCAACAACCACCTTTCTAAAAAATAATGATTGCTGCTTAAAAATGCCTAATGATGACAAATATTGAGTTGCATCGGGTGTGCCTTCCATTTTCCATTACTCTTGAATCATTTTTAGATTTACAGAACCTCTCAAGGTTAGTCTAAGCCACCTTATGACACTAAATACTGTACATTGAGGTCATACCACTAGGAAGAAGATACTGTATGTGCTTTTCCTTTGTTTTTAGTCACTTGTGAAGTTTAGTGATTTGGTCACATTAACTCCTCAATATTAATGCAGTAAGGTGGATATGGCGTGTGTTAGAATTCAATTTAATAATGACTTAATATAAATTCAGCAATGATTTAATTATTCTTGGTTGATACACTGCCCTCTGTAGCTCAAGGGACAAAACCCGGTTATGTGATAATTTCTTTGTCACTTATTTTAAAACTATATATTTCAACTTCATTTTAAACAAGGGATATATTGTATTCCAAGAAAAACGCAGTTATAGCCGGTTTGTTAAGAGAGAACCATAGTAACTGAGGACCAACGCTCCTGAAGACTGGCTTTGATGGTGTGAGTCGATGATTTGATTGAGGTTGTTATCTTTTAATCATTGATTTTTGTGTCACTACTAAAAGATATTGTGTGCTTAAATGTGGGAATAATTTACAGTGAAAATACTGTTGTATGTATGACGTTCTTTAAGAAGAGGGCGAGTACGCTGATCACGTGTAAGTCTGTTGGCATAAGTCCAGATTGACTTCATAACTCACCAGGAAAATAACAGGAATCTTGTTAGGGATGTAAAGGTAAAAGGAGGGTAAGACTGTACCCTGTAGCACAGATTGCTTGTGTGTGATTTCCTGCTTAAGAGTAAAAGACAATTTTGTTGTGTTGGCAAGGGCCAGCACAAGTAGACAGGGAGAAAGTTTTTCCCCAAGTTTCTGTCAATCTCTTAGCCAGTCTGAAATACTATTTGCAGACCTGGTTATTACAATTGAAAAGGTAATATTTATCTGATGGCAATAATATGAGGTGTATTTAACTCTGTATTCAAAGTGAATTCCACAATCTAACATCATGGTATTTGCAGTCACCTCCATGTCACATGTAATCTAACTTACAGACTGATAAGGATATGCAATCCTGTTGTGCCTCACACTCTACTGCCCGAGCACTCACTAATACAACTTATGACCAATTCTTCATCACCCTTGTTGTCATATTCAGTCTACTGGTCACACATTAAGAGTATAGCTACTAAATATGTCCACTTCATGGCTAGTTATTGATCAATTAATTATTGTGACGACAGATTCAGCGGGTAACGGAAGGCAAGGATTGGTTTTGGTACGTCGACAAGACCGTGACTCTCGAGTTATTGGAGACCTTGACGGCCGAGTTCCTTGCCATTCTGGATAAATGTCCTAATCGGCTTAAGAAGATAATGAACTCATCACAGCACACGGAAGACCGGGGCAAAGGCTGCCAGCCGGGATCCTCTGCCACGGTGCCTTCATCCCGCTCCCTAGCAGCCGTTGGTTCATCCTCATCTTCCATAGCTTCACGTGGACACGACCATAACTCTCACAGTAAAACAGGTATTGAAATAATACTTCTATGTTGGTCATTTTTACAGTGATATAATTTTTCACGTAGTTTAATACAGTAGAACGTCGATTTAAAGCGATTCAATTTAAGATTATTTATTTAAAGCGACAGCGACAATTAAGGAAATTTTTTTATTTAAATTGAATCTTTCCTATTTTGTGAGAGTCATATCTGGCACATCATATTTTGAAATTCGTGCCTAATGTTTCTCAGGGCACGCTGCACTGTCCTCAGGGCAAAGCTGTACTGTACATGTACTCGGTCAAAATAATGTACTAAATGATTGCTAAATGTTTTGTCTGGTGCAAACTATAGCATGATTATATTCAAATTAATCGCTATCTCATAAGAATTCCAGCAATGTAAATTATATTCTCCCCGGTCACTTTTGTGACATTTGATAAAAGAAAAACTTATGTCACTCTTAAGGACAGATAAATAAATACCGGTAAGCACTAGACCTTGGCATCACCTGTCAAACATATCACCTCCCGCCCTCCCCCCCATCTTCCCAGCCAGTAAACAGACCATTTCGCATCCCTTAATTTTAGCTGTGTTGATTTATGAGTGCTTGTTTTAACATAATACTACAAAAAACAATGTTTTGTTTATTCTATGAGATGGGCTGAGGTGCATCTGGGTTGACTCAGTCTTTTTAGTATTTTGTGTTTCTTTCAAGTACCCGTACCAAACTAAATTATTCCATTGAAACAACACTTCGATTTAGTGCAAATTCGGTTTAAAGTGACCTCTCTTGGAACCTATCTGACGTCCTACTGTACTGATGATCTAATTAAGCTGTTTATCATTCATAGAAGTTAAATGTTTGTTGTATGTTTATGAGGGCTACAGATTTATATAAATTACTGAATCCTATTTATGGTTTTTCATTTACTTGGTTAAATACGAGAAAGAGAATGTTTTTGTGCTCATGGGAGGGAGCATTTGGGGTTTACCTTTTCCAGCCATTGGTTTGTGCAGTCATAACTATTTAAGATTTCAGAGTATGATTTTGGTAATGGATAATTTACCATATGATCCCTAAATAGCTCAAGCACACATACACTACCATACATGATATACCTTGTGTACACTACCATGGTACTTGTTACATCAAATACAATCAGCTTCCTGTAACATTATCGCCTCCCCTGAAAAAGTATAGTGTCGTCATGCCTGGGGGAGGGACTGAGACCTACAATAACTGGTGTGTGCTAAGTCTGGCACTGTGTATTCATGGGTTGTATTTGACCATGGAGAAGTAAACACAACGACATAAGCTGCATCTATCAGGGCATGTGCTTGGGGGTAATAGAGACAAAGTACAAAGAAGGTAGGCCCTGCTCTTATGTGGCCTAATGCATATTATTATGTGTCAAAAAGAAAAGCTATTGGAGACGTAATGTTCATGCACCCATTTATATTTAAAGGTCTTCATGAGTAATGTATTATTTTTGTTGAATTTTTGATACCAACACTTTTTTAGTAGTAGTAGTACAACATTTACCAAACACTGTACATATTTTGAACTTGCAAGTGTACTGTACTGTACATTACAAAGCTTTAGGTGGTACAGTATGTCACTCTGGTCATGTGTCTGATCATAGCTTCATCTTCAATATTCCGTTCATCTCAATTTTTGGTATTTATTCCTTTCTCGCAGTCTTTCCTATCTCTTTCTCTCTCCCCTCTCTCTGTCCCTCCACCACTCCTGGGAGGGACACACCTCTTAATCGGGTAAATCACTTGAAAATGCAAGAAATTGCTGGAGAGTTCTGCTGAAGCACAGAACCGGTTTCAAAAGAAGTAGTTGGCTTGTAAACAATTTTGATACAACATTCTGTAGCCAGCCAAGATGGTTGGATCATATATAACAATTAATTTCTTTTGAGATTTTGGGTAATTACTTTTTGTTATCCTATACAGGTATAGAGAGACTTACAATAAATCAAGTTTTCCCTGAAGTAAATGATGTGGGAGGTTTTTTAAATAAAATTCAGGTCTGGCAATACTGTAGGTTAGGTGGTGGGATATTTCCATTTGGTGCACTGCGTCGTCATAGTCTTCCCCGAACACTGCACCCGTACCTAGCAAAGGGTTGAGTAGTTTTTGTTTAATGAGATTTAGCTTTTGTAATCCACTATGAAGTGTCGAGTAGATGATGAAGAGGTTTTGAAACTAACCGTGACCCCCAATTGTAGGCCCTTTATGTGTTGTGATCAGTGAAACTTTGGAGGAAGGAAGTAATAAATGGCTTCTTTATTTAAATATGAAAAATTGTTCTGTTCAAGAAAAGTGGAAGATAGGCCGAAATGAGAACCATTTTCTAAATTTGCAGTGTTTTTTTATGTAAACCAGCCAGGGTGCTTTAGCCGACGATAGACTGTGAGTACGGTATCGAGTTTTGTTTATTTTCCGTGTATTGTTTTTAGTGTATTGTACTGTACACCAGAGCGGGATTAGATAACACCTATCTGTCATTTAAGATCTTTAAAGGTGTTCATATCTTTGAGACTTGATGTTTGGATCATGATATGTTTTGAGATTCAGGGATGAAGCCCATATGTTCCATAACACTGAAATTTAGTTGTGCAAATTCAGTCTAATGTACACAAGATTTTTTAAGAATGTGACCCCAAGGCAAATTAAGAGTTTACTGATATTTGGTGTCTCATTTCCCAAAGACTATGGAAGGTGTGACAGTTGTGGTCCAGTTGAGTACAGTAAAGTGTATATTAAAACTTGTTATGTGAGCAGTGTGGTATAACGGTTGTGATTTTTATTAGCAGGTTAAACCCTTGGTATATTTTAAACCCTGCACCTATATCAGTTTGGAATCACTGTATAAGAATGTTTTACTCATTAGTATAGTTTTTATTCCTGTTCTCTTGTCTTTCTCCTTATCCTTTCTTTCTTCTATATTGTGTTCCCCTTCCTGGATGTAATGTACAGTATTTAATTTATGACTCCTTTGTGGAATACTAGATAGACCATGTATTAAAATTTATTTCTTTTATTCCCAGGTCTGAAGGTGCCCCCATCTCAACCTCACCAGCACCAACAACCACCGAAGTTGAACCTAAAGGAGTATAATGAGAAGCGGGAAAAAGAACGCAAGGAGAGGGAGAAAATGAGAGACAGAGACGGAATTGATCCCCGCGATAGCAAACAGTTTACTCTAGTATCAACGTCTCATTCGTCACAGGCCGTGACCTCTACTGTGGCGTCCATTGCCTCATCCCACGCAGCCTTGCATTCGTCTCTCCCCATGCGTGTCAAGAGTGGCAAGAGCAGCAGTGGACGTAGCACTCACGTCGAGCACGTTAAAGCCTCGGCCGTTCACAGCAGCAACCACAAAACACACGGCCACGGGGCCTCTCAGGCGACACGAGACTCACAACCAGCCTTGGAGTCCTTGTCCTTGCGAGTTAGTGCAGAAGCTCCGCGCCAAGAGCAGCGGAGAGATGTCAGTGCACGTAGTGATAGTGAACGTTATGATAAGGGTAACAGGACTAGTAGCAGTAATGTGGATGGTAGATTGCCAGGAGTTGACGTAAAACCTAGTGTATCTGATATTAGACAACAGCAATTGTTAGATGTTAAACCTTCTAGACAGTCTTTAGATGCTTCATTATTAGAAAGAAAAAAAGAAATAAAACTTGAACAGAAAACCACTGAACGTAAACCTCCCGAGCCAAAGCAAGAGCAGGTGAAAATAAAGACAGAAATAAAGACAGAACCTAAGGAAGAGGTAAAATCACAGTACAACACAATTTTTAACAACAGTGACCTGCCCGAGTTTGCATTGAGTGACTTTTTGAATGAAAATACTTTTCTTAATTTGAGTGACGGACCCCCAGACGAGCTGTTCGATAACTCTGATACAGAGACTAAGCCTAACATTGCTGCCATATTAGAAGACAATAGTTTATTACCCAGTTCAACCCATCAGAAAAACAAGTCTCCTGTATCCTGCCAGCAGCAAGTTGGACACCAAGCTCAGCATACCCAACACACGAGCAGTGGCCATGCTGCAGCAGTAACAAGTGGTACGAGTGGTAATGGTGATCAACGGGTAAGTGAAAGTGCTGGCGCAACTGCAGCACATAATTACCATGGTACACGACATCATCACACCGCTACTAATGGTTCAGTACCTGCTCCCCAGCCTGCTCAGATCACTCCTCAGTCTTCGAAGAGTTCTAGCAGTAGAAAGTCTCGTGATGGTGAAAGAAGAAATAGTGAACGAGGTGAGGCTGAATTGGTTCCTATGGTTACCAAATTGGAGGACACAAGATACCGCACCGCTCTAAGTGACCCGGGCACCCCTATCAAGGTGCGTCCCGATGCAGCGAATGCAGCTGCTGCAAATTCAACTTCGAAGCCACCTGCTCCCTCCTACAACACCCCTACAGCGGTAAATGCAGAACCAGCACAGAAAATCCCCAGTGAGTTAGTTCTGCGTGTAAAGGTGCCTCAGCCAGAGCTTCAGAAGGAGCTGCAAGCTGAACCCCCACCTGTTGTTGGGAGTGCTAGTATACCGGTAGTTCCAGAAAATAAGAAACACAAGTACGACCATCCACACCACAAGCACAAAGAGAAAAAGAAACATAAACATAAAGAAAAAGATAAGCACAAGGATAGGGAACATAAGGAACACAAAGAACATAAGAAGGAGAAAAAGCACAAAAAACGTAAGGATCGAGAGAAAGACAAAGAAAAAGCCCGTAGCAGTGGAGATGGTGGTATTGGACCTATTAAAATAACTATAGCTAAGGATAAAATTGTGAATACACCTGAGCCAACTCTTCCTTTGCGTCCTCATACAACCGCACCACCAGCCGCTGTTACTGTACCTACTCCCACTCCAAATACCACTCCTGTTATCCCAAAGTTCAAGATTACTAAGTCTAAACTCAGCAAAAAGGACTTGTTTGGTGGCACCTCCTCCACCTCTCCAGAGAGTAGTCCTGCTGGTGACTTGACCCGTGACACTCCCACTACCTCTTTAAAGATCAAGATCAGCCGGGACCGCCTTCGTCCAGATAAGGAATCAAAGAAACGAGACAGGGACCGCAGTCCAGGTGACGTCCATCCAGCGAAGATCCCACGCAATGGCAGCGAGGCAAGACCCACCCACGCAGCCCCTCAGGTGGGTGGTGGTCAATACAGACCTCCAGGTGGTGGAGCTGTTGCTCATCAGCGTTATCCCCAACAGCTGCCTAGAAAGCACTTACCTCCCCACCACATGGGACCCCAACACCCTCAGTATCCCAGTGCTCTCCCACCAGCTGGCATGATGCCCATGGTTCAAGCTGGACCATACTCATATCAACATTTCTATCCGTACCAAATTCCTCCACCCAATTTCCACTATCCTCCTCCTCCATATCCTCACCCAACACATCACTCTCATCCACCTATGCCTTACATGCAAGCACCTCCACCAGTATACATGCCAGCCCAGCCTCCTCCACCTCAAGGGTCTGCAACCTCAAATCCTCCTCTCCCTACAGAACCACCCCCACCCACGCCTCCCCCACCTCCCCCAGAATAATTTGCTTTTTTTGTGGGGTATTTCTATGCATCCTTTCAAGATAATGTAAATCTATATTGAGAGATTATGCCATTGTTATAAAGCAAAATTACTTTTATTTTTTTATTAGAGAATTTTTTGTTTTATAGCATAACTTATTCCTTATACCAGTTAAAATTCCAATCCAATAAACACAAACTCAGGTGTCTGTTTATAAATAGTAATAGGCCAGGAAATATATATCTATTTTTTAGGAAATACATAAGCACATGACATTTGTATTAAGACATCATCCACAATAGAATGTAGATCATCATTCATTTGCACCACTGGGAGTCGTACCAAACCATACGTCATATACCTGATACAGTACAGTACATCTTAGTTATTTCTATATATTGACTTATAAATCACCCTTTAAATCTGGGGTATTATTTTGCTTCACACATTAAAAATAAAGCATTATATTTTTCTCGTGCACAGTCAGGAATATACTGTACTGTATATATATAACTAGCAGCTTAGTTCAGTATGTGCCAAACACACTAATACTCCGCTATGTAGTTCTTCATGAGAGTTTATTCTTTATTTTGTGCTTCAATATTACTTCACACAGAGCAGTAGTAAATAGTTTAATTTTGTTAATTTGCTCTTCAATAATTACCTGGTACCCATTTGCTAGGTAACATAATCATAGTTAGTAGAGTAGCATATTTGATCAATGTAATGACAGGTATGATGATTTCTTAACTTAGCCTTTTGATGCTCTGGGAACAGCATGAACAGTGTGAGTGTCATGTATAACAAAAGTATTTTTCTAAAAAGAGAATATACATTGAGCTATAGTCTAAGTTAGTTTCATCTATGAATACAGTACACAGTAGATACATAAAAGCCAATTTTTATTTATATATATATATTTTTTTTTAGACTAAAATTACTTCCCACTCATTTTGAAGTATTTATATACCAGTACAGTATATGAGGCACTCTGACCCATACAGAAATGTCTACACAACACTTAAACATGCACGTGAAGATTATTATTATTTATTTATTTATTTTTTTAAAGATTCAACAATAGTGATTAGCATAATTTGACTGAACTCTTTATTAAGTTATTATGTTAAGTTGTATCATTGATTAGTTTTGTGCTTCCGGTATATGAAATGACCCAGAGTGTTGGTAAAAGGGTATTAGCATTACTTTGACTAACAGGTTTTAAAAAGCATTACCAATACATAATGTATTTTCAGGGTAGATAGAAGTAATCCTTATGTGTTTTTTTTCTCTCGCTTCATAGAGGTTTGGAGTACTGTATATTGTTAAGTCTTTCATATACGTGTTTATGTGAATGTATATACGTACAGTAATTCGACAGTCGGTTGTGGAGAGAGAAATATAAATATGGAAGAGAGATATAGTGTGTGTGTGTGTGTGTGTTTATATTCTATTATTAAAACCAAACTAAAAAGCAAAGAGAGTCTGACTGGAATGCGTTTGGATTCGTGTTGACGTAATAATATAAGTGAAACGAAAAGAGTGATTGAAAGTATAGGTGGTATAAGTGATAGGAACCAGGATGCCTTTATTTGGCAAAACAGAGCAGAGGAGTGAAGAATAGGCAAGCTTAGGATGAATTAGAATGGATTGTGTTCGAGTTGTGAGCCAAGGTATTTGACTACTAGGAGTACGTAGATGAAAAACAAAAGAAACTCGGAGGTGTATACAGATGCCGGATAGTGAAGATAGAGAACTGTTATATTGGATAGGCAAATGAAATGTAAGATTGATGTAGATGTTTGAAATGTAAGATTGGAGTGAATGTTTGAAATGTAAGGTTGATGTGAATGTTCCAATGAGTGTCTTATCTATACCATAACTTAGTAGAAGCAACGTTACCAGTGAGTTGAAGGTTTAGAGCAAAAGAGAATGTGATTATGTGAGAAGGTTTTAAAAAATTATCAGCTTATTGAAGGAAATATAGCTAAATTGAATGAAAGAAATGATTGAGATAAGGAAACTCTACACAATGGGGATGGAAGAATGAAAATAAAGAATTATAGAGAATGAAGGAAAAATGAGTGTATGCTTTAGCTCTTTGTTTCTGGCCGGCTACCTTGTGTTAAGTGGGTAGAGGCTTGATGGCGTGATATAGGTGTGTTTGTGTGGGCATGTATATTTATATATACGCAGAATATACGTAACATTCTTCTGTGTACATACTTTTATATTCAAATTTAAAGACATACATTACCTTATGATTTTGTGAGTGTATTTGCTTGAACTTGCACGCACGATCTTTTATTTTACCAGTGGGTGTGGTATGTTGTGGGTGTTTTACTCTATTCTGTAAATATATCTATATACATTTACAAGTAATTAGATATTCTTAACTACTTTACCTTGCTTGTAATTCTACTTCCTAGATAGATTTTTTCTCTGCCTTGTATTTATTACAAATTAAAATGTTTATATTTTTATAAATATATATATTGTTATGTGGTGTTGTTTATAAGGTGATGATAGTCTTCCTGTACCTGGTGTTGTCTGCATGTATAAAGCTTCTTCATTATCTACACTGTAGAGTTGGTACTTTTATTATTATTATTATTGCTTTGGTTATGCCTTCATTTCTAGAAGACAACACACACACATGTATTATCTATAGAGTATATGTATACTATACATGTTTCCTCTTTGTCCTTGATTGTGGTGTACTAATATAAGCTGTTTCCCTGGTGGTTTCTGAGTGGTGTTTGGATGCTTTGCAGGTACCCATAAAGGACTTGGATCCCAGTAGGTGGAGCTCTCAGAGGCAGTAGTACTGGCAAACATTTGTAGACAACTGACCTGACATGACCTAGCCTCCCTGACCCAACATGAGCTGGTGTTATGTTCCCTTACCTGACCTTGGCCACAAGGCATTTGTATTATGGCACTTACAATGTAGTGCCCATTATGTCTTTTGAGTTGTGAAGGGCTTTTAGATTTAACCAAATTAAATTACAGTCAAATTACTATTATTATTAGATATAATTAAGTGTGATACATTAAATTTGTCAATAGTTGTGCTAGTTTTGTGAGCCAGGAGGTGAGAGAGCGAGTGGTGTGGACCAGCTCGGGAGGGTCGGGAGTGTGGGGGTGTGCTGGTGGTGGGTGCAGGTGGTTGGATATGGCCTCTCACAATACACACGTTTAGTTTATTCTGTTGATGTCTGCTTAGTTGGGTTTGGCTCTTAGCCAGCCTGCACTGGGAAGTCCTTGTTGCAACTCTATGTTTACACAATCTTTATTTCTTTAAGCACACTTACGGGTCAATTGGCAGGCAGTTGTGAGTTTCTTAGATAGCTAAGCATTCCATGACTAGTCAAGTCAGTGTTAGCACATCCCAGAATTAGGGTGCCCCAGACCCTTAGCCCCATCCATCCTCTGCCACTCCCTCCCCACCACCTGTAACAACCAGCTTTGGTAACACCAAAACCGTCCATGCTTGGTCAGTGTGTCAGCGTGTCAGGCTCAGTGCTCATTTAATTGCTAGTACACACAAGATCCCTGAGAGCCATGGGCTGCTGCGAACATCATCCCTCCTCTGTGGCTGTTTGGGATCCTCCTCATCACTGGAGGACGAGGCACTGCACAGGTCTTCTGGTCATCGGCTGTGATGCGTCACTACTACGGCCCAATACTGCTGCTACTGCTGCGGCTGTGGTTGTGACATCTTTAACCTCAACATTTTTTCACTTCACATACACTCGTTTTCCTTTCCCCACAACATGACTTTAGAACCAGAAAGTCATCTATATTTAGAAATGTTTAATCTTGAGCTGCTCGTTTTTGTATCGTACAGTACTTACTACTTATGCATCATAATCATACTCATACTACGCAGAGCTTGTATCATCAGCATGTATGTGTTATGTTGTGAGGGTTTTTAATTCTGAAAATCATCTTCTCTGTGAGAAGATTTGTTGGAACTCTGTTTTATTTGTGATGGAGTTTCCTATAGTTTCCGTGTGTCCGTGTGACTTTTGGAAACTAACTTTGGTTCACACGCCTCAGGTACTCTCATGGTAACACCAGCAGTCATATTTACCCTGCATAACATGAAATAACCATTTCTGTTTATATATATTTATTATTTACTATTAATGTTATTCTTGTGTTGTTAGTTTGTGGACTGAAAAAAATTATTGATGCATCAGGCGAAGGAAACTGTTCAAGTTTTGCTCAATGCTTTTTGTGATGAAACATGGACAAACCACATGCATTAGTTTTTGTATAGCAGTTGTTGTACAAAATGAAACAATGTTTTTGTAAACTGACATGCTTTTTATTTCCATTTGCCTTATGTTATCAAATGCATAAATTGAGTGGCAGTTTAAGAACTTATTTCTTTTAGTATCAGTATATCTGTATTTAATGTAGAAAATGTTAGGTTAGTTGGAGTAAATATGTAGATTATTTTACTTTTGACTAATTTTTTCTTTTGTTATTATGATTGTTGCGTGCATGTGTGTGTGTGTATGTGCACATGTGTGTGTGTGTGTAATAGCAAAGGTTATGTGGACCATCCAAAGTCATTAGTTTGTAATTTTGCCTTCCATTTTGAAAATGAACCATGAGATGATTGTGAATAAGAACTTGTGTTTAAATTGCTCAAAATTATTTTCTATCGTGTTCTATTTAAAGTACAGTAGTTTGTAAACGTCAAGTGATGGTTTTGTTACTAGAAAACCTTTATTGATGAGTAGTACTGTAGCTGTTGAAAATACTATCAAAAAATTTGGTTCTTACAAAAGTAATTTCTTCATGCAACCAAAAGATTCCTCTTCTCTTCTCTTCTCTTCTCTTCTCTTCTCTCCCTCAAAAAGTATGTCTTATATAAATTATAAATGAAGAAAAACCATTAGATTAATTATTAGATTTTGCAAAAGAAAATAGAAAATAAAATAAAAAGAGATGGATTTCAAACAGAAACATTGCCAGGTATATTGGAAGGTGTACTCCAGGTGTGTACAGTTATTTCTGAAATTAACGAGCCAGGTAAATCCTGTACATGGGGTTGAGGTAATTATGTGGGGTTAAATTGAGGTATTCATATATTGAGGATAGTTGAGTCACACAAGTAGGAAGAGGAGAGGTACAGTAGTTGGTTAAGTGCTTATATTAGGTAGGTACTGTACTTAGGTGTGTGTAAGCACTGATACACACACACACACACACCTACCTACTTTAACACTTTTATACTCATACTGTACACACATACACTGATGCACACATTTACAAACACATACTTTCCCACTTATACACACACAAGAACATACTCATACACATGCAAAAACATACAGTACGTAAACACACATTTGTAAGTCGAAAACCAGTGAGGCAGAAGTTACCTAAGTGATAGACGACACAGTTATGTGTGAACACTCGCACAGTCAATATGTGTAGGTTGTTATTATAAATAGACTACTTCTCTGTGTTCCTGAGATAGACCGAAATCTAACACTTGAGGACAAAACATGAACTATTAGTAACTTTCTTTATTGTAATGTATGCAGTATGGTATATTAGTGGTGAGGTTGCAGTGATATTTGGTTGTGTACTTACTTCACCCTGTTTATGTAAACTAGAGTAAGAATATTGCTGTAAATAGGAAACTTTTGGTCAGGAAAGGAAAGAAAATATGAATTTGGCTATTGTAAAATATATAATTCTAAAAATTATTTTTTGTTTCAATGTGAAACAATTTATAATGGCAATTTATGTCATGTTATACAGATTATGTGCCTGTCTTTAGGCTTGATTCTTGAATAATGGTGATGAGTACTGTGTTTAAGGTTACTGTAGGTTCTAATGAAATTTGGTATGAATGTTTTAGAGAAGATCTCAAATAGTATGCGAACAGCCTATGACTGATAATTTTAAAGTGACCAGAATGTTGACATTACACAAAATTTCATTTAATAGAATGAGGGTTGCATCTAGATAAGGAATATTCTTGGTCCTAACTCTTTATGTGTACCTGGAGTGGCTAAAGTTTAAATGATAAAACAAAGTGATAAAGTCGGGTATATTGAAGGACTAATAATTTTTGGGAAGGGGTGTAAGGTAAAGGCCAACTCTTGGTATACAGTATAGCTCACAACTGCTACTGTGGATATGTTTCCAATGTGTGTAGGAGGTAAGAATTAAGGATTAGATAGAAATTATAGTTAACTGAACCACATTAACAGAGTAACGTTTATAAAGATATACAATGACTGTCCTTTCTTCACTTATTAGTGGGGTGGGGGAGTAATAAACATCTCCCCTGGTTTATACAAGAGAAAACATGATGTTAGTGGTACTGTAGTGGTATGAATCTGTTTAGACCAAAATAATGAAAAGGTAAGAGGGAAAAAACCTTTATATCTGTGCGACATGAGTATAGAACATGAATTATGTCAGGAACTCTTTACAACATGAACAAATGGTGTATAAGATGAATACTGAGGTCAAGTCACAGCATGGAACACAGGATTATGTATCTGAAGGTAATGGCATCATTGTAAATAATGGAGAAAGGAATTTTTAAAATTATAATAATTGTTCATTGAAATTGGTGGGCAAAAGGAGCCACTTCCCTGTAGCATTCTTTTTATGTTGGCTTCATGTGCATCCTCTACTTTCAGACTTTACCAACATCATCCTACCATTAAAGTACTTTCTTTAGCACAGAGAAGGCTGCTGTGTTGACTGAGAGCATGCCTGACTGATAACACTCTGACCCAAGCCTTATACTATAGTAGTGTATCAAGAGGCACTCTAATAAGCAGGTGATAATCCTGTGAAAGAGGTGATGTCAGCTCCCAGCCACTAATGAATTCATAAGTTAAAAATATAAGCACAAGAACCTTCACTGTGGCTGACAGTCTTCAATGACCAACCAGTTGAAACATTCAATCATCTTCAACCCCTTTACAATAATACAGCTCAGTAATATACAGACCATTGATACAAAACCTTATCCAATTTAATTTTCAGTATTTGCATCTCCAATTCTTATCCTTGACTGAACCTCGAGAGTTCCCCCAGATATAATGACTAATCATTCCTCGGATGATGGCTATGCTGTGCACTACAATCATCCCACAAAAAAGAGCAATTTGTGGCTACTGCGGTTCTGATTTTTCTTGATCCCATCTTGAATCCCTTCATCCATGATTTTCTCTTGACAATCTTTCACAATTCCAATTAATTTTTGTATGTTGTGCCTATCATTCCTCCTTCCATGCTGAACCTACACTGAGTTCTTGACATGTAGACATGAGTTACTTATCCTTTTCATTGATTGCTCAGCTGATTTATCATCCTTGGTAAATTCAATGTGCACTGCATAATATACCCTGACTCACTCACTCCTCTTGGACAAATGATGATAGAGCAGAAGCAGAACCTTGACTGCCATAGTGAGGAAGCAAACTGGACATATCTCTCTCACTACACATTGAAACCCTAGACTGTGTGTCAAGATCATACAACAGCCACCATAGTCCAAAATAAAGTCAGTCTTGAATTATCTCTATTTTGTCCATAATTAAATGTTTTTAGCCTGAAAACTAAATTCTCTCCATTCCATGCAAACACTTAAAGTTATACCTGTCTAGTGTTGTCTGTTCTTTTCAATCTAGACGAAAATGACACCACAAAATTCTTCATCCAAATGTACCTTTACCCTCACCAACATTCTAAAGCCTCCTTGCTGTTTCCCTGTCTCAAAAGTTCCCTGAAGTCCAGCTTATTCCCAGAAAAGGTTGATCCATTCTCTTGCTCACCTCACTCATCACTAAAATCGTGGTATCTCGTAAACAAACAATTACTCAACCATCTAAAACAACACCAAGTGACCAACTCTAGCGATAGCTTCCATTTTTGTAATTCCGCTGTAAACAAGTGGTATGTCCAAAGTTCTTCAGGAGACAGTCAGTCTTCACCACTCCTGGGCAACTTATAACAATCAAATACAATTAAAAGTAAAGTATACAAAGAAACAATCACCAAATATACCCACAAAAGTGACACTAAATGGAGCAGTTACGCAATTATTTATCATTTATTAACCTCGATCCTCAAGTGTACCTAACACTGTGAATGTTAACTTATACATCTACAATGAACACACCAACTGCTGTCTGTGGCAACAATAAGTGGAGTCTCCCCCATGACTATTATTACACTAGTTATGGTACAGTAATAACATGGATCTCTTACTACTGTGTCCTGGGTTGAATCTCTGGCTGGACACAGGAGAAGAATGTTATCCAGTGTAACCTTACCAATCCTCACTGTTTTTCCCTTGTACCGATACTGTATGGTGACTGTCCAGGTGTTATTAGCAACGACCAAAATGTTCCTAGCAGGTGTCTCGTAGGGGCAGAAATCAATTATGTCTTGGAGGTGTCATGTGTGTCTGGAATGGACCAAACGTGTCTCGAAGAACCCAGGTGTGTCTGGTAAGGCTCAGGTGTTTCTGGTAAGGGTCAGGTGTGTGTGGTAAGGCCAGATGTGTCTGGTAAGGCCATATGTGTCTAGTAAGGGCCAGGTGTGTGGTAAAGGCCAGGTGTGTCTGGTAAGGGCCAGGTGTGTGGTAAAGGCCAGGTGTGTCTGGTAAGAGCCAGGTGTGGCTGGTAAGGGCCAGGTGTGTCTGGTAAAGGCTAGGTGTCTGGTAAAGGCCAGGTGTGTCTGGTAAAGACCAGTTGTGTCTGGTAAGGGCCAGGTGTGTCTGGTAAAGGCCAGGATGTGTGGTAAAGCCCAATTGTGTATGGTAAGGGCCAGGTGTGTGGTAAAGGCCAATTGTGTCTGGTAAAGGCCAGGTGTGTCTGATAAGGGTCAGGTGTGTCTGACACAGTTACTGACTCGGGGTGTATTTGTGAGTCGCCAAGTAACGATTTTCCTGTGAAGCGGCAACCGCAATGCAGCGCCGCCGCCCCCTTCCCCTCACTCTCCCCCTCCTCCTCACATCCCCTGCCCCTCTCATCCACTTCCCTTCTTCCCCTCTCCCTTCCTTTCCTTAACACCTTCCCTCTTCTTTCCCCTCCCCATATCTCCTCTCCTTCTCACTTACCCTTCCTCTTCTCCTTTCCCCCACCCTTCCTCTCTCCCTTCCCCCACCCTTCCTCTCTCCCTTCCCCCACCCTTCCTCTCTCCCTTCCCCCACCCATTCCCCCCATCCTCTTCCCTCCCTTCCTTACTCCTCGCCATCTCCTTTACCCTCCCCTACTGTTCTCCTCACCCCCTCCCTATCCGTCTCACCCCCTTCTCTTCTACCCTCCCCACTACC